TAAGTGATTTAATGTGAAATCCTAAATAGTTATCAATGATATATTCAAATATATGCTATTTTATTATTCTCTATTAAATTAAAAAGCCTTTTAAATTAGTGATTGAATGTAAAAATTTATTTATTATTCACTTTATTCTAATTATATATCATTTGAATGTCCTTCAAATACATATATATTTTTTAAATTGTATAAAATTCAAGGATTTACGATGTTTTGCTGTTCAACGATAAAAATTAAGTAGTTTTTATTGAAACAAAAAAAACTTAATTTTTATTTTATTTTTTTCTATTAAGTTCACCGGTCTTTCAATGCATATTCAATTTGAATGCATATTTGCAACAAAAATATTTTATAACATTTCATATCTGTTACTTCTTATCTAACTTTCAAATATTTTTCAAATTAAAATTTTCTATTAATACAAAACAGTTGAATCAAATTTTTCAAATGTCTATAATAATAATAAAATTGTTTTATTGTTAATCATAAAAAATAAATAGAAAAATTTGATAAAAAAATTTACGAATATATTTATAGAAATTTAATAACATTATAATAATAATAATATTAATATATGATAGTATATAACCATTGTTTCATTATGATTATACTATGAATGTTGATTGAAATTAGTAATTTATATTTTAAATATAATATTTGTATTTTTTTGTATTATAGAAACTATTGATAGTAATATAAAAATGTTAAATTTAAATAATAATTATATATTTCAAAGTATATTGTAGTATAATATTTATAATATATAACTTTTTTGTTTATCAGATACCATATGAAGTAAATAAATAACTATAATTATAAAACAAAATATGCAATACTGTATATACAGATATAAATATTATATAATAATATATATATTTTTGTTATATATTATTATTATTATCTAAATTTGTTTTGTAATTTCTAATTTAATACACACCTTACATATTGCACATATTGACATATACAGTATTTTTTCGAAATTTTCAATTTACAATTAAATATTAAGTTAAATTTCTATTCAAAAAAGTTATAATAGTCAGTATCTAATATATTAAAAGTGTTATTGTAGAGTTAATTGTGTATAATAATTGATTAAATATAATAAAACATTAAACTAAATATATTTTAAATATCTATTGTAAGAGAAAGTTAAGTAAAATATTAAAAATGTTTTTGGATTATTATTATTGTTATTTAGACAAATATATAGAAACTGATAAAACTATATTATAATTAATTCATGAGTAAAAAAATTAATGTCTCATTTATTGATACTAATACTTTTAAATGTCAACATTTATTATGAAAAAATTATTTATTAGTGATATTTAGTGATTCTATAAGTTATGGTTTAAACTAATTTTTTCTGTAATTTATATCTCTATATATATTTAAAAAAAATATATATATATTAATATAAATATATTTATTTATATCTAATTATCACTGTATAATGTAATATTATTATAGATTTTTTTTATAGACAAACCATTACAAAACTATTTATAAATATACTATATATATAAACAATTGTCATTTGAAGCAAATAAATTTTAGAGAAACTCATCGGTTTATATAATATATGTGTTTAATTAATTAGATTAAAAAACTAATAATTAAAAAATATAAACCTATTAATCTATTACTCTATCAAATATTTTCTTGTTTTAACTGAATTAATAGTGATTAGCAATAATTTTTTTTACTGATTAATTTAAAAATTAATTTATTCTTGATATTTTGCATAAATTTTTAGCATTTAATTATGCTTACTTTTAATTTTTATATAAATAATTAGAAATAATAGTAAATTTTTTTTAATTAGATGTTTTAAAAATATATATCTATTAACAATATTTAATTGTTATTATTTTTTTTATAAATCAAGGAGACTGTTTAGAATTAACAAAAAAAACTGTAAACATGGTTTTTAAAAATATTGTATATATATATATTATAAAATTATTCATATATAATATTAGAAAATAATATTTATGTATAAAATTAAATACAAACATGTTATAATAACTGTCCTTATAATATAATATCTGCCAATTTTGTTGTATAACTTTCATAAATCAAACATTTATTCAGTTAGCGATCAAATGTTTATTCATAAATCAATGCTTGAATAATAATAATAATATTTAATTTTTTATATTAATTCAAATGAAAAGTTATTGAGAAATTAATATTAGCACTACTTTAACATTTTTTTTTGCTTATTGTATGTCAAAAATTGTAAATATGAATATAATAAATAGAAAATATATACTATATTTTAATTTTTACAATTTAATTACAATTTACAAACCATACGTTTTTATGTATAAACAATTAAATAATCAAGGATATATTAATAAACATTAAGCAATGAGTAGGTATTTATATAGTGGTTGGCGCATAACTATTACAGTATATATCATAGCTGTTTAATGTATTCAATACATGCATTTGAATATTTCCCACATAGTGTTTGATGTTAATATTATTATTATTATAAACTATTTGAAATGTATCACCAATGCTTATGCAAAAAAAACCTTGGATGGCATATAAATATAATACATACACTCACATACATACATACTATATAAATATATATACAAATATAGTGAATATGTAATGAGATTTTTTCATTTTTATAAATAATTTCAGTATTTTTGTTGTTTAACGAGTATTATATATATATTTTTTTGAAAATATTTTCAATAATGCGGTCGAGTTTTTTACTACAACACAAACTACTATACATTCACTCTCTCTCTCATCCATACAAATGCATACATTATTAGTTGGTGTGTACTGTAAATACCATTTAACTGTAGTTTAGTTTTGTTGTTGTTATTGTGTTTTGTTTTCACAGTTTCACAATGTATATTACATTACTCTATATAAATATATTTGATATTTTTTGATACTTTAAGCTTTTTTTAAAAAAAAAAATAATCATAAAAATAATACACCTCTAAAAATAATGTGTATATGTGTAGTGTATTTGCCCTGTCATTCATGACCACACATTAACAAGTTTTCTGTATATGTTTTCTAAAAGTACAAACTATTGCTTCAACTATTTTTTGGTGGATATTTCAAAATATTTTAATATTATATAAATATATATAAATGTTGTTATTTTGTTGTTGATGTTGTTATTTTTGCCCATACCTCACACTGTGTATGTTGAGGGCACATTTACATACACTTACACTCACACACACATAAACATCCCATTGCTGCTCCGGTATGTTTATCCATAGTATATAAAAGTATATATAAATTTATATGACCAATATTTATTTATATACATAAATAAAAATAAAAAATAAAACTAACATTCAATTTGCATATAAGTGTAAGTCAATTATATAATCAAAATTGTATTTACAAATTTTCAATGTTATATCATTAGAAAAAATAAAAAGAGAGAGAAAATACTTTTATATTTTGTTTTTTAAACTTTTCTTATTTTTTATAGTTTTTATTATTTTTTTTTTCTCTCTCTCTCTCTCTCTCTCTCTCTCTTTCTTTCTTTCTTTCTCTCACAACATATCATTGAGTTGTAAACACGAGTGAAAATATTTTTCTCTCACATTTATATTATGATGTTTTTTGTTGTTTTTTATTTTTGCGGTGATTTTTATTTTTTCATCCATTCATTTCACTTTTATCATGCATTAAATAATAATATTAAGTGTTATTTAATTAACCATTTAAAAGAGTTAATATAACATATTATATCTCATTACAAACCAATTTATTTATTATGAAATTTTTATTTTTTATTTCTTTTTTTAAACACATATACACTTCTATTTATTTATTTATTTAATGTTTACATAAACTTGTAAAATAAAGAAATCAATGTTATTGAGTGAGTTGAATGCCTTTTTTAATTAAAATTTATATAAATATATATATATATAAACTGTACTGGTTAATTAAAAATTATTAAGTTGAATTAGTTTTATAATTAGGTATTTATAATGTTTAAATTGTTAAATAGCAAATATATATATATATATAAAACGGTAAATAAGTAGTGTATTAAAAATAGTGTTTTAAAAAAAAATAAAGTGTATATAAACCTAATGATTGCCATTAGCGCCGTCAAGTTGTTTGATAGGACAGGTTTCCCCTTAAAGTTTAGTCGACTCTCATTTTAATATAGATTGACGTTAAGTGTGAGCACAAAAAATGCCATTTATGTGAGGGACAGGCAATACTACTACCTTTTGAATATGTATTTTTTGAAGCAATAAAACAATTTTCTTATGCATTGAGTAAATATAAAAAATAAATATCATATACTATGTATGCTGTATATTAGTAGTGCTGTTTAGTTTGAAAAAATTTCAATACTTAACCAATACTTTGGTATATATTTAGGCTAAATATATTTGACTATTTATTTTTGAATTTTTTTTCTCTCTCTCTCTTCTCATTATGGATTTTAGCAATAGTTTAATGTATGGCTCAAAATGGCCCGGGGCATATTTACTACATATATAATATATTGATGAACCATTTGCATATCTATGTGGATGCACCGTACTCTCTCTCCCTCTCTCTCTCTCTCTCACACACACACACACACACACACACACACACACACACACACACACACACACACACACACACACACACACACACACAGTTACTCAGAGTCCCAACTATTACCAGTACTAATATACCTGAGCCCCAGTAAAAAATCTTCAAAAATATTTTTATTTAATGCTATTGCTTGTGTTGTCTCTATTTTTTTAGGTAATAAAAATATTTTCTGACTTTAAGTAAAGTCACGTGAAATATAAGATTTATAATACACATATGAAATTCATTTTAATTTTTTGTGATTTAAAAAAATATTAATTTATTATTTTTTAATACTAAAAGTAATTATTTAAAAACAAACAAAAAAAACATAATTACAATTTATGTGCGATTTAAACGAATGAATATTTATATGAAATTTTTGTTTTTCAATTATTTTTTAGTGCATAATATTATCGATTCAAATCGGGAAAACTGTATGATTTCATCGTTATTATTGCTTATTGATAACATAAAACACATTTGAGATAAACTTGATTTTTAAAAGTTTATAAAAAATTGTTTACTTCGCATGTGTTTCAAAAGGTAAATATTTTATTCATTTATTTTTTTATTAATATTAAATTTTTATTTAAAATTTATTTACCAATTATTTATAAAAATATTTGTTGTTGTTTTGTGATTTATTATCATATGTTTTTATATATGGCTTCAAATATTACTGTTTTAAAAAAAAAGTTTGTATTTTACTTTTATATGTTAATGTGTTTTTAAATTTAAATAATTTTACAATAAGAAAACATAATTAATTTCTTTTACATAAAAATTAATATTGAATTGGATTTCAGTTAAGAAATTTAGTATATGTTTTAAAAGTAATAGATTTGTTGATAATATACAATAGATTATTAGTTAACAAAACTTATATAATGAAAATCTTATATTTAATAAAAAGTTAATCCATTAATTATAAATAGATTTTATATTATTGTTACATAAACTAACAGTATATTTTTTTAGTAATTTATAAATATAATTTATTAGTATTATTTAATTTTCTTTATTAATAACCAATGCATGAAATTTCAATTTATTTAGCTATTGAATTGAATTAATGTATTATTATTAATATTATAATAAATTGCAAAACAAGGAGATATTTATTTAAACTTAAAATATATGTTAGATAATTGTTAAAAAAAATTGTAATATTATGTAATTTTTACATTAAACTTAGAGACTAAGAAAGTTTTAATTATATATTTATTTTGTAAATAATGTTTAATTTATTGAGTAAATTAATTAGAAAATTATAAAAACATATAAAATACTTAATTTTTTCAATGACTAAAAAACATGATTTGCTCCCTAACTATTAAAACTAATATTTAAACATTTTTTGAGTATGTATTTAATATTAAACTTGTTTTTTTGTATCATATTTTTATTAATAATAAATGAAAGCATTTATAAAATTTGATTTGTAAAGATTTAATAAGTAATTATTATTCATAAAATAATAAGTTTTTTTTGGTATTATTTTATCTTTTTAATGTTATAACTATTAATTCAACTCAATAGATTTTTTATACATAATGTAATTAAATGAAACAATATGTTTATTTATTTTTTTTGAATAATACTAAATACAATTTTTTGATAAATAGTTTATAACATAAATGCATAGAAAATAAATCATATATTTTAATAAAAAGTCGGAAAACTTTATTTGTTATTTTAAATAGATATTAAGAAAATTATTATTTATTTATAAAAAAAAATATAAATAAAATTAATTTTAAACACAATACTCATAATACTTGTTATGAGTTGTAACGCATGCTTTTTATTGTAATTATTTGAATTTTTTCAGTGACAATATGCTAACAATTTTAAAGGTGTTTATTGTTTTGTTTTTCTCTCTGCAATACATTTGCAAGTATTTGTTGCTTTCATAATAATAATCATGAATTAAAAAGAAAAGCCTTTTGACAAAAAACATTTTACAAATAAATCTATGAATAATAACAATATATAATCATTACTTATATTTTGTTATTTATTTTTAATAATGTTTTCAAAAGATATTTATTCATTGATAGTAAAGCAGTGATTATAACGCACTAAAATACTACAAAAAAATATGGTTACATCCCTGTCCTCTAGCCGTCCCTATCATTATATTCAAGTGGTCTCACCATAGGGTGTGAAACATTTAAAAGAAAAACCATTTTTAGGCAATACTTATTCAAAAAAATGATTGCAATAATATTTAAATGTTTGACCACTTGTGAGCCGTTTTGTTGGGTCTGTCAGTTAATATTAATTTATGAGTATTAATATAAATAATCTCAATATATATATATATATTAAACATTTAGGACATTATATTTATCATAAAACGAAAGCTATAAAAAACACTTACAATTAATTTAAAAATAAAACATAATTTTAAGAAACAAAACAACAACGAAAACATAGAGAATATATAAATGATTTGATTTTTATCTATTGAGTGCTTTTCGATTAATACAATTTGTTTAATGAGAAAAAATTTGCTCATAAATTGTTATTGCAAATCATGTTTACAATATATTACCTGTATATCTAAAAGTACAGTATATTATATTATATAATGCCATATAATGCATATCCTATTGTTAATAAGTTATATACATATATTTGTAATGTATTTTTTTATAAACAGATAAGAAAAATTCTAATTTATTAGTTTTTTTGCCTGTTTTTTATTATTCAATACATTAAAAGCAATTTTGTTTGTTTGTTGCGATCACTCCCAACAAGAGAGAGAGAGAGAGAGAGAGAGAGAGAGAGAGAGAGAGAGAGAGAGAGAGAGAGAGAGAGATAGAGACTGACTCTCCTATTTTGTGAACATAACTTCATAGTATTACAATACAAATACTATTAAATATAACAGTTAAGTAATTTTTTTGCAAAATGCTATTTAAAAAAATAAAATACCAGACAATAGTTTGTGTGTGTGTGTGTGATGAATAGCGAGAAAAAATACTATAATATTGAGTTATCAGACAATAAACATTAATTATTATATAATTATTTCAATTTTTCTTTATTTGAACAAATTTATTTAAATTGAATGCATTGTGTTTAACACAAAAATATAATTCAAATAATAGTTTGCAAATGTTTTTTTCTGGTAGTGATTTGCATTTACATTGTATATAATACACAAATAGATGGTATTATTATTATAAATCGGTGACAAAGATAATTCAAACAGTTTTTTCTGAATTACTTAATATTATGTTTAGTTTAATAGAAAAGTATATATATGTTTGTAAATAATATTATTATCACTATATATAATGTTTGACTGGTTTAATATTATGACTTTAGATGTCCAACAAACAAGTGATTTGATGTAAGCTCAGGTATATACAGGTATTTTCAAAACTTTTAGTGATACCTAAATAAATGCAACATTTTTTATAGTTTGTTTTTATTTCAAGTTATTAAATTACAAATATAAATTTATATATATATATATATATATTTGTAATTTAATATAATATTTAAACGTAGATCTTATGATAATAAGCTAAAAATTATTGAAGAAAATATCTAAGTTTTTGTCGCCCAAATTATATACCTATAATTAGTATCTCTGTGTGAGTGTAGGAAACGGTGCACTCATTGACACCCTTTCCGTCACTTTCTTTATGAAAAATATCAAAAAAAATTGTTTTACTCAGTATTTAACACAACAACACTCCAGGTGTTCATCAAATTAGTTACAAACATAAATGAGAGTCAAATTTTTTTTTTTAGTTAAAAGGGGTCTAAGTTTTTACAGTTATCAGCAATTTGTATGAATCAATGCATCGATAGTTACACAAATACACAGAGATATACTGTACTTAAAATAAATTTTTTGTTACTGTTTTTTAAAAAAATATATAATAATAATCAGATGATTGAAGCAATAATTTGTGCGATAAATTATAAACCATTTGAACAAAAAATATATTTGAAAAGTCCGGCCGTTCAGACACACAAAAAGGCAGTGATTTTGTTGTCTGCTTTGAAATTTCAATAATGATGTATTAGATGAGAGATATATTGGATGTTATACTCAATATAAGGTATACTTTCCATACACTGAATATGTATGGCATTTACAGTATATATACAGTATATATAGTTAAAAACTAAACTCATTTGGCTATTATTTAGTGAATGACTTGAGTCTCTCGCACTTAAAGCACTTACATATTAAATATTGTAATAATATTTTAAAATGCATTTTTCTCACAACTATGCCATCAATAATGTAATAGTCTATTGTCTGTTTTTGGCGTTATGTTTATTATTAAGATTATTAATATAAGAAATTGAAAATAATAACATAATAAGATTGAAAGTTATTGGACCTTAAGTTTTGCATATATATACTGACTGTTGTTGTTAGCACTAGTCTATCAAACAAATGTCAAATTTTTGTACTCAAACTTATTTCACATGTTTTTCTAACATATAATTCCCCGACAAGACTATCGGCTAAAATATTTTAAGTTTTTTTTATTATTATAATAAAAATAAACTAATTTTAAGCACTTATATGAACAGCAATAGAAACAATTGAATATTAGACTGTAAAAACTTATTTGAATTCAGTAATTGTATAACAATTTTTGAAAACAATCTTTTAATGTTATAAAAATAAAATACAATTAGTTGTCGACTTTAAACAATTTGATGAAAACTATACAAATTATATTTTATTATTATAAATAACTATAATATGACATTAAACATATTGTATTGATGAGCTAATACAATATTGGATTAAAATTATCTATTATACTGTATGAAAAATACTGAATTAAATAATATTAGATTTAAAATTATAATAAAAACAATTAATCATCAGAAAAGCTAATAAATAAATATTATTATCATTTTTTTGAATTATTAACTCTTGAAAGTTATACAAATAATTTGTTTTTATATTATAAATTAATAGCGAAAAAAAACATTTAAAAAAATTTTTACGCAAACATTTCGAGAGCGGATCTTAACTGAAAACTTGTGATTTAACGATATTATAAAAAATAAATAAATAATAAACATAAATAATATTTATAATGCTAATAAAAAATACAAGTTTAAAATATTAATATAATTTAATAAATAATACTGTATATTTAATGCAATAATTTTATGACTAAATTTGCATTTATTTTTATGATCTAAATTCGTGAAAAAGTAATTTTTTCAAACAATTATACAAAATATATAATTTACATAATATAGCAATAAAAAGACCAATTTAGCCAATATTTCACTGTCAACAATACATAGTATTTATATTAAATATTAATAATTCATAATAATTTATTTTATACTAAAATGTCTATAATAAATAATTTTATTATTTTAATAGTTTTGTTTATTAAAACTTTAATACAATTATAAATATAAGAATAAATTTAAAAAGAAAACAAAATGCTATTAGTTTTATTAAAAATTTATAGATAAGTCAATTATTGTTGATTTATTGTTAATATTTTTTTCATGATCTAATATCACAAAAATTTTAATAAATTATTAGTAAAGATAACAATCTATTTTAAATTAAGGTTTTTTTATTTTGAATAAATTATTTGGTTTAATATTGAACATTAGTTTATCTATATAGGATTTTATCAAACAAAGTTTAAGCAGTTTCTCAAATTGATATATTTTTAATTTGGAAAAAATATTTTATAATTACTACCGTAATTAAAAAACTGCTTAAAGCTATGAATAATAAGTAATTATTATAATTAATAATTAAAATATTTATAATTATATATAATTTTAATAAATAAATATATATATATAGAAATTGATAATCGTTTAAAATATTTTAAACCATTTATATGTTTAAATTATTTAAATACTTCACTTTTTAAGATTGATTATTTAAACTAAAAAGTGACTATAAATTAAGTGTTTTAAAACAAATTATTTTGATTTTTAATTAGTATTTAAATGATTAATCTAATAAGTAATCAATTTTATTGTTGTTTAATTTTGACAATTTTTTATAATAACTCATACGATTACAATAAGTTAAAATCTGTAAGTAAATTAATTAAAAATATTATTTAACAAATATTTTAATAAATCTTTTTAACGATTGTACAGTTTATATATAATTTATATTTATATATATTGATAAATAAAAATAATACATTATTTATTATGTTAAACTAAAATTATTTTTATTATTTTATTTAAATACTAAACTTATATAATATTGTTATATAATAATAATAATAAAAAGAAAAACTAATTTTATAAATATATTTAAAAAACACAATTTTCATTGACATCATTCAAAAAGGACGTCCATATTTTAATTAGTATTTTTGATTTACTAAAAAACCTTAAATAACTTTCATATAAGTTTAAGTTTAATAAATATTTTTGATAGTTATTATAATTTTTGGACCAAATTTTTTAAGCAAAACTTTTATTTTATTGATTGTGTAACTAATTATATGTAACCAAATTGACAGTCACTGAATACTAAAAAATTATTAATCATTTAGAAAATAATTGAAAAAATATTTTTATATTTTGCCTTCAAATAATAATTAATAATTCATATAATCAATTTAAATTTGTCTGATAATTTTGTTAAATTTTGTATTTATATTATTAAAGTCTAGAGAGAGAGAGAGAGAGAGAGAGAGAGAGATTACAACAAACTATTTGATGAATATTAAAAAATATTATAAAAATATTTGAGAGAAAGTCTAGATTTTGATAAATTATTTGAACATTTTTTGAACAAAATTGGATTTTTAAATAAAATATCATTATATCTGTTGATCATAAAATTTATTTATACATTCGTACAATAAATGAATAATACAGATATTTTTTTGCTTAATTTTTTAAAAATGATTTTTAATGAATTTAAATTCAAGGATTCGGCAATTTTCACAAAATTATCTAAATTTTTATATTTAAATAATTAAATTTTTTTTAACTATAAATAATATATTGATAAATCTATTAATTTTTAACGCTTAACTGTAGTTTTTAATGTATTAAATTTTGAATAAAAATATTGAATAATAAAAATTAGTTGTTTATAAAATGTTATATTTTTTTGTAGTTTAGAAATTAAATGTTAATATACAGAAAATTAGCAATTATTTTGTTTTTATACTTATAAACAATAAAAATTTCAACCATTAATGCAACTTAAACGAGAGTACCGGTGCTTTGAATTATTATGTAAAAATTTGGTCCATCGATAGACTCATATCACGAGCTCATAGATCATCTCTCTTTCGAGAAACAGATTCGCCTCAACATTATAATACCTGTGCTCTGATGAGAACATATATTCAATTTTTTTCGGCACTTATTATGCAAATTATCGCAGATTTAAATTATTTTTCTATTATTTAAGGCCAACACACAATTTTTTTCATACAAATTTTATGCTAATTAAACATTTTTTTCTAACTAACATTCATATAAATTTATATATACTATATATATATATATAAGTAGAGTGTGTGGAGTACTGGCTTTTAAATAAAAAATTACATATTTGTATATAAAAAGCATATAATGATTTCAATAATTTTCTCATTTATTTAATACCTATAATAACTTTTTTTTAAATATATATTATATTTATCTTTATTTATAGCTACAACCATATAGTGGGAGGACTTATTTTTTAAGGCAAACGAGAAAAGTGAGGCAAATGATAAATATAAGAGAAAAAACATTTAATTTAATTTAATAATTTATATCTTTTTTTGACTGTTTTCGGTCTAAAATCTAAATAATAATTATTATAATGTTTAAAAAATATATCTATTATTTTAATATATACATTGTGTTAAAGTTTACACAATATTTACATTTATCCTTCAGTTTAATGAACTTTAAACTCGCTATTTATTTAATTATATTGTAACGTATATATATATATATATATATATAAATAATTAAAGTATATAACATTAAAAGTTAGGTATTTTTAAAATAATTTTTTTGTTTTATTTTAAATATAGTCATATTTTTAATAGATTTATTATGTGTGTGAATGATTGCAAATCTATGAGTGAGTGAATAAAAATAACGAGAGAGAGAGAGAGAGAGAGAAAGAGAGCTAATAAGGGAATGCCTTATGAATTATATGGCACATCATAATTAAGTGGCGGTAAATAAAATCAAAATAAAACAACAAAAATAAAATGACTTATTGTTGAATTCACGGCTATATTGAGTATAAGTTGTTTGAAAAAAGTGTTGTCTAGAGTTGAGACTCAACATCATTAGCCTATCTCCACACCAATCAGTCACTCAATTATTATTGCAAAAACACCTCTTCTTTACTCTTAATTTACACATTTTTATATTAAATAGCAATACATTTAAACCATTGACTTATTATTTACTCACATCTCTCTCTCTCTCTCTCTCTCTCTCTCTCTCTCTCTCATGTAATACACGACATCTGATAGCACCTAAAAACATATGATCTGAAATCTGGTGTTAATTTGTAAATTAATGGCAGTTGTGTGGCACCAACTGATCATCTAAACAGACTTTACTTACTATATTCTCACACAATATTAAGCTATGAGTAGCTCAGGTACTCTTGAGTTGTGTGTCACACCTTCTCTCATATCTCTCTCTCTCTCTCTCTCTCATCACAACTTGATATTACTTGAGTTCGTGCCATTAAAATGATTGAGATATGATTTGAAAGATGATTACAAATGTTTAAAATAAGAAAGAGATGAGAGAAAACAGAGAGAGAGAGAGAGAGAGAGAGAGAGAGAGAGAGAGAGAGAGAGAGAGAGAGAGAGAGAGAGAGAGAGAGAGAGAGAGAGAGACAGTATATACTCTGTATTTATGGTATAAACTTAAAAAGATTGGTTAACCGACATAACCCACTGAAAACCCGCCAGTTTCTCATCACTTATATATATAGATGTATATAATATTATATTATTAGTAATATTATTATTAATAAAGAAAAGCTCATCCATTAAAAAGTGATGAACACGTCGTTTAAAGTGTTAAAGGGAAAGAAAATTTTATTATTATTTTTTACATATATTTTGCTTTTTAAACGTTACTTTATTATATACTACAGGTGCCCAATGCCGGTATGCTGTTTCTCACGTGAATCTATGATGGGTTATTAGCTTTTAAATAATTGCAATGTTTATGTATAATATCATTTATTTAAGTAACCAGTTATTTAAATAATTAAAAGTCAATGTCTACTAAATAATATTTTATTAGACATTAATATTTTTTACAGAGTATTAAATCTAAATCCTATTACTGAAATAAATTAGTAAAAATATTTTTACAAAATTAACTAAATTTTAAATAACATTTATTTAAAAATGTTTTTTTATATTAATTATATTTATATTATTATAATAGGATATAACATATATGCTTTAAATTAATTTGTTTAAGCTATTAATATAAATAGGTTGCAAATTATTATTTATTACTTGTTTCGATAAAATTAACTGACAGTATATTTATTACAATTACTATTGTTGTATAGTATTTATATAAATTTATATATAATTGTATAACATTTTTCATCAGATCAGTGGGGGTTTTTAAGTCTAGTGTTAACCCAATCGATCCTATAATTTATTGTTTAACTATAGTTTCGTGAAAATCCGATTAATTTAATGCTCTAAACTATAGTAATATTTGTTATATCGTTCATTAAATAGCACTTTATATTTGTTTAGTTTTTCTTGAAAACAAAAAAACAAATTGATTATAGTTTAATGAATATTAAGTAACTAAAAGTTAAAAATAAATAAAAGCAAATAAAAACCAAAACCAGTGTTTATGATAACTATTTGATTACATTTTGATTGCTCTTAAAAGAGATATTATTTTTCAATTCTTATTTTTATAGGTTTTTCTTGTTATAAGAATTTCATAAAAAATAACAAAATATTTATTTATTTTTCTGTTATGAATATGTTTTATGTGTATTATAAAGTTGTTTCTTACATTTGTATCCAAAATATAAAAATAAAAAAACACTATTCATATACAGTAAATGCATATACAGTATACTGAATGCCGGAATGTGTGGGCACAGGTAGATACTGTTTTTAATATATTTTTTGTTTATATGCATACAATATTTGTAAATGTCTGGTTAAATAAAATTAATTTATTAATTAAACACATCGTTAATATAAATATATAATAATACAGTATATATATATGAAAAATTCAATTGTATGTGTGATAAAAAATGATTATAAAATGTTTAAAAGAATAATAATAATAATAGCAACAATTATATATTTATTTTATTAAAATAATAATAACTAATAATAAAATTTTTAAAAAACTTTATTTGAAAATCAAATTTATTTAATATTATATTAAATATAATTTATTATTGCCGACAATATAAACGACTTTTTTCAATAAAATTATTAGCTTATCAAACAATATAAAAAATATTACAACATTAATTACAACAAAAATATTTCTCGTTTTAAAATAAATATTAAGTACTTATAGTATATATAATATACAGTCTTTTGTTGTTTTAATTACAAAATAATAATATAGCGAATGTAATATAAATTGAGTAAATTATGTAATAATTTATTGTAATTTTTTAGTTTATTTTTTATTGCTAATATTGTTACTAATAATAATATACATATATATGAGATCTAAAAGGAAATCCGCCAAAAAAAAGTTTATGTATATATAAAATATATAGTTTTATCACTCCTCGCGCCCATCCTTTCACCAAAAAGTGTATATCAAATATATGAGAGATTTATGTTAACAATTATATTGTAATTTGTATTTTAATGAATACACAAATGAGTTTTTTTTAATTATTGTTTTTAACTGTTTACTAAATGTGGTTTTATTATATAGAATATTGATTCAAATATATTATTATTATTTATTATTTACAGTACAATAATCTTTTAATATTTTAATAGATTTTTGGAAATTATGTTATGAATTCGTAAAAGTTTAAACTTTTAAATATATATAATTATAAATACCTTTTATTATACATTTTGTTTTAACTTTTTATGTATTTATTTGATGTACTGTAATTTGATTTTCAAAATTTTATTTATGATTTTACAGTAAAATATTTTTATTGTGTTTTATAGAATTAAATTATAAATTATTAAATAAAATTAGTTAAATAAAAAATTAAATAATTCAAAACAAATGATTTATTTGATTGTTAATAACAAGAAAAAAACATTTTAAGGTAATATTAATATTTTATATACAATTAAATTTATGTTATTCTTAAAACAATTAATTTTGATTTGATTTGATTTTAAATGTAAATTATTGTAATTGTATTATAAGAAATTAAAATGTTTAGTTAAATATGTTTAATAGAATAGACATATTTTTTACTTATGATTATTTGCTAAATAGTTTGCTAATATTTAATTAATTATTTATTATAAATTAATAGTATTTGTTAATTATTTGTATTTAAGGATATTATTATAATTTGTAAGATATTATAATTAATTATATCCCATATCTGTATTTATTGCAAAACAACTAGATTTTAAATTATGATTTTATCTTTACCAGCAAACGATTCGTAACAATATTATTACAATTTTATTTAAATTTTAAGTTATTATTTTTAAAAAATATATAATAAGTATTAAAAATTGAGACATACAGACATTGTTATAATATCTATATATTTAAAATAATAAATAACATTTAAAATACTTTTTTAAATCTATACTTATTTATTGATGCACAGGTAGTCTTATTTTTTGTGACTATTCATGACATTTAAATTAATTGCAAAATCTCATAAAATAAAAGTTAATTTTATTTATTTATTTAAATAGTAAAGATCATATAAATTATAAAAATAATACTTAAAAATTATGATCATTTATGACCTCAATAACAGTATTAAATGTTTGGTTTCGCATTTTAGTTAGACATTTAAATGTAAATTTAATTTAGTTATTTGCAAATTAATACATCCATAAACTACTTTTCAAATTTAATATAATTTCCATATATTTATTTTAACACTAATGTGTGGCAAATACATATAAAAAAGCCAACTTATTTATTAAATAAATTTAAAATTATTAAAAACATTTTCACGAATAGTTAGTATTGCTCAAAATAAAATTTTAAGTAAAGTTAATAGTATTAAAAAATTTGTTTACATAATTATTTAGACAAATGATATGCAAATTATAACCCAATTATTTATAAATAAGTTTACGACAAATCAAACAATTTATGTAAAAATTTTCAATACAAAGACTGGTATTATTATGCTGTCTATGGAAAGGTATTATTATTATTATTAGTGCATTCAATTGAATGTTATTTATATAATTTTTTTAGTAAAAATATTTCTCACATGAGTATTATTATTAGTGATTCACAAAAATATTATTTATTTTTTTTTTTGAAAAAAAACAACTGAATAGACAACAAAAATATTTTGTTTATTATATAAGGTCTGACTGACTGACTGAGGCCAGTGATCACTTGGGTATCAGCCCATAGAGCTCACACACGGCGTTACACAACTTATGCCAGACATTAGTGTTGGTTGTCATACATCGGTGAAAGACATATTGCATATATAAAAGCGCATATAAAGTCATATTTTATTTTATTTTTTCCATATCCTCTTCAATATAAATAATAAGT